TGAGAGATGACTGGGTTCCGGGTCACATGTCCCAAAACACCAGATAAAGAGTAATAAGCGAAAGCCAGTGCCCAGTGTTCACGCTCCCACAGGGAGACAAAAATGATTTTTTCAGGCCAGCTCCCATGTTTGTCAATGCTCCAACTCGGTCCCTGAGATGCTTTCCATTGTATCTCAGCATTAATGGCAGAAACACTGGTTCTCTTCCATGAGAACACAGAAAAATTAACAAGGACTCTTCAAGCCTCCGTCTTTCTCTCTGTAAAATGGGACCACAGTCTACGTAGTGAGCCTACTTAGCACACTCCAGGTGCCCGACAGTACATGGCTAGTCCGATCCCTCGCTTGGAATGACTGGATCCCCAGTGCTCATCAGTGCAAGGGTCCTTAACATCCAAGGAAAGAAAAAATCAAGGGCCTTATAAACATCCGTGTGAGCCAGACGTATTATTCTTTGTATCCGAGGACTGGCTAATGGTATAACACACAGAATGGTTGGGGCCATCTACTTGATTAGATGAACAGAAGGGGGAGAGGGAGACCAAAGGCGCTAATTTGAACCAATTTGTGACCAACTTCCCAGTCTTTTGGTATTAAAAGAAAACAAAGGCCTCATGGGAAAGCTCGGGGAGTTACTAGAATGGGCATGGTTACCACTTTCAATTATGGACCCACTAAACGGCACAGGGCCGTTAACACCCCGTCCCACCCCACCTACCCACCTGGAGGAATCAGCAAACCTGGCAGACTGGGCACTGTGAAGAGGACCCTGCTTAGCTTCTGCTGCTGCCCAGCAAGGTGCCCACTAGCTCCGTGTGGCCCCTGTTGCATTATGTGTATTACTGAGAACGAATCCGACCCGGTCCTCTTAAAGCTCCCAGCACGTTTCCAGCAGCGTCTCCTGATTGCACTGCGCTGGCCTGGCGTGTACAAGGGGTGGCACTGGCAGAGGTGGAGGACGACTCTGTGCGTGACAGGGGTTTGGGGAGGGGGTAGTGTGGCTCTGTGTGTGACGGAGGAGGAACCTGTGGCTCTGCACGGGTGAGGCCATGTGTGGCTCTGTGCATAAGCGAGGAGGACCTCGCGAGGCTGTGTGCATGATTGAGGGCGCCTGCGTCTCTGTGCAAGGCCAAGGACGCCCATGGCTCAGAGCAGAGGATTGACGCGTCTCTGAAAGGACGACTTCCTCCCGAGTGCAATTCTCTAACCAGTCGCTTGTCCCCCGCAGCGCCCGCCGCCGCCGCTGCTCGCAGGTTCGGCGAGGACCCCGCGCCCCCGAGCTTCCCGAGCTGTGGCCACTACCGCGAGGAGCCGGCTCTGGGCCCCGCCAAGGCGGCACGCCAGGTGTCCCGGGACGGAGCCCGGCTGGCGCTGGCCCGAGCGCCCCCCGAGTGCTGCGCGCCCCCAGCTCCCGAGCCGCAGGCGCCGGCGCAGCTGCCCTTCGTGCTGCTCAACTACCACCGCGTGCTGGCGCGCCGCGGGCCGCTGGGGGGCGCTGCGCCCGGCCTGGCCTGCGGCCCCGGAGCCCCCGAAGTGGTCGGTCCGCTGCGGCCGCGACACCCGGGCCCCGTCGCCTCCTCCGTGCCCAGTGCGCCCCGGCCGCACTACCTGGGTGCCTCGGTCATCATCACCAACGGCAGGTGACCCGCCAGGGCCGGTCCCGCTCCGCAGGGCGGCCCACAGGGAGAAGCCATAGGCCAGGCCTTCTCTGGTTCCTTCTTTTTTTTTTTTTTTGGTCCAGCAGATGGAGGGGCGAACTGTATATGCACGATATAAATTAATTTATACAGAGACAACTATTTTAATAGAACTCCGCAGCCGCCTTTTAGATTTTTACCGTAGATGCTGGTGGAGAGGGTTGGGACCCAGTTGGAGGATGGGGAGAAGGGATTGCCCACCCTTGTCGCCAGGGGCCGGATTTCAGAGGGCAGAGAGTCCAGATGCCAACCTGTGACCTCAAACTACCCAGATCCCGGGGCTTTTGGTTTCCTCACCATGAAGTCAATCAAGCCGAGGCCCAACAATGGGAATTCAAGGCATCGCATGCAGCTTGGCAGAAGGACGCCCATCTCCATGGGGTGACGACAGGCTGGAAGTCCCTTCAGGGTCCTTTTGGACACTTAAGTGGACGCAAAATGCTATCCTTGTAAGTCCCACGAGCAGACAAGAGTCTCTGCTGTCTTTGAACCCACTCATGCATCTCATTTTTAAATTTAATCCTTTTAAAAATACAAAAACCAACAAGCCGAAGCTAAGGAGGCCGACACGCAAGCCGATGTGTGTGTGGACATGGGTGTGCTTCAGTAACATGTTAACAAGTTCGTCTTTCCCGAGCCCATAGGAACTCTTGGTGACACCCAAAAATTGCACCTTCAAAATATATGGAGTAGGCATTAAATGCAAAAGAAAAAAGAAAAAAAAAGAAATATATATTATATATAGGCAGGCATCTTAGAATGACCCTGACAAGCTTAGCTCCCCAGCCAGGTCCCTCCAGCCCTCGCAGATCTGTTAGTCCTATGCTTGTGTTTGCTGCAACTAGGTCCTACTAAAGCTAAGTGCATGTGCAATACAGAGACCTGAGCGGACTGCACCTTGTGGAAAAAAAAACGTGCTTAGGGGTGTAATGAAAATGGTGTACACATGTAAGCATTTTCTACATAGCGAGCGCTTCGTACGCACATGTCGTGTGTAACAGAACGGAGACCCTTTTTATAAACGCACCAGCAGTGTTTCAAAATAAACTGCCATCACTTTGGTTTCACACTTAACGATTTATTTATGGGTGTATTTATTTTTCTGGATGGGTGTAGCTCAGTAGCCCAGTGCTCGGGTGACAGAAGACGCTGGGTTTAAACCCCGGGATGGAAAGAAAATAAGAAAGTCACTATTCAAAAGTTCTCATGGCTCTAACCTGAACATCTGTTTTGACCAACATCTGCTTTATCACCTTTCAATCTCTCTACGCAGGAAATACTTCATCGATTTACTTTTAATAAATTTTACTTTATTTTAGGAAGTAAACTTTCCCACCTGTACCAAAAGGTTCTGATTTTTTTTTTTTCAAAAACTAACCCTTCTACAATCAAACAGTGGCATCAAGAGCTCTCAAAATACGAACTTCAGTTGGCCTTCTGTGCCACGCGGTGAGAACACCGGTTACTCTCTACAGCAAGGTTAGGAAGGCTGCGCACACCCGCACATACCCGCGCATACTCGCTCACACCCATCGCTCACACTCACGCCCCACTAGCTGCTCTCAGTGTCAGCAGTAATAAACTGAGAGTGTTGTCTTTCATGTTCATGAATCTCACAATTAACCCACAGTTCCTCAGAAGTTCTATGTCTGATTCGTGGGCATGAGCACCAACATTTTCCAATAAAGTACCACTTAAGTGTGTCAACCAACCTGGTTACTCACCTCTGGGGGCTGTATGCATCCACTAGACACAAATCAGGAGGGCTTCTGGAGCAGGTTATCAGGCTAACAGGCTAACTGAGGGGAAATGACCGTGTTATAGATTTATAAATGATAATGTAAACATAAGGGAGTTTATGTGTTCCTAAAAATTAAAATGCATATTAGCAAAGATTTCCTTATTTGAATAAACATCATGCTTCCATGGTCTAAAATAGGAAGAAAGATTCCTCAGAAAGCCAAACTGGCTTACAGAGGTTATGAACTCTGGCAAAGTTGCCAAGCAGTTACCATGGCAACCCCTTACTATTACCCTCATCCTCAAGATTCTGCCCATGGAAGCCCTAATATCATTTATCACATTTATCATTTCTCAATTCCAGGAAGTTCTGACAGAAGAGGAAGCATTTTAGTAATGATACCAGTCTTTCACAAAGAAAAGAAAAGAAAACCATAGTGGGCCCTACCTAAGATGGACCACATTGACAAAAAAAAAAAAAAAAAACAAAAAAAAAACCGCTAGATCGAATGGATTTGAAGCCTGAACCCAATTCAAGGCTTTGGCCCTGCACGGGGCCTCCCAGGGAAAGGAATCCCTTTATGTTCCTGGAAACCTCTTTCTAGAAAAGCCATTCCTTTCAAACCTCAGCACAAACAGGAAGGGGTAGAAGGGCCCGCCTCCCCACCCCTTCCCCTTTCATCCTCCCTTCCACCATAAAGGTGTGTGTGTGTGTGAGTGCGGCTGCTAGCAGTTTCCACACACAAAATCTATCCAAGTTTTAATCTGTAGAACTGCGAGGGAGCTGGGGTAGAGAGTGGAAGTCGCTACAGAGAAAGTGGGCCCAAAGGGCATTTATGAGATTTTGGAGACTGGCAGCCTGTCGGTATCTACAGCACGCGGCTGAAGCTGACCCCAAGCATAGGCGTGACATATGATGTTCCTATCTCAGGACAAAAACACCTTTAATGAAAGCCGAGCTGTTTTCGCAAACATCCCGAGAGAACAGCTGAGGAGCGGTGGCTGCAAACGCCCCTCGCTGGGTAGAGATCTGGTGGTTCTTCGTCAGTTTTTCCTCTTCCTAGTGAGATTTCTTTTCTGCCAAAAACATCTAAAAACTCGCAAAGCACGTGTAAGAATTCCTGAATTCTTACACGTGATCCTTGTCATGTAAGCATGTTTAAATGTTAAACAAAGATGGTGTGGTCAAAAGTGAACTCTTACACGTGATCCTTGTCGTGTAAGCATGTTTAGATGTTAGAGACGGTGTGGTCAAAAGTGAACTCTTACACGTGATCCTTGTGTAAGCATGTTTAGATGTTAGAAGCGGTGTGGTCAAAAGTGAACTCTTACACGTGATCCTTGTGTAAGCATGTTTAGATGTTAGAGACGGTGTGGTCAAAAGTGAACTCTTACACGTGATCCTTGTCGTGTAAGCATGTTTAGATGTTAGAGATGGTGTGGTCAAAAGTGAACTCTTACACGTGATCCTGTGTAAGCATGTTTAGATGTTAGAGACGGTGTGGTCAAAAGCTGCTGCTATTTTAATAACGCACTGGTGGTGAGACAAGAACGAGCCCGAGCCGCGGGGAAAAGGTGAAAAGTTTATTTTGGTAGGGCTGGCTTTATAGGCATTGGTTTACAGTAATTCTTTTCAGATATGATTCTTTGAAAAGCTAAAAAATAAAAAATAGCAAAGGTTTACGTTTTTGTTTATTTCAAAGATGCATAGTGAAGAACCAGGAATGAGGAGGTCCCATTTCTGGCAGGTCAGAAAAGCAAAGCCCCTAAGATTCCCCTCCGGGTGAGACAGGCCAGGGGGTTACCACACGGTGTGCTAGGTGTAGGGGAACCCCCAGAGTTTGTGGCCCCTCACTGGCTGTGTGTCTGACCAAGCTGCAGACAGGACATCTCTTCCACGTTGGGTCCTGCCATGGCGCACAGTGAGATCCACGGGACAGGAGTCTGCCACTTATGGCCCTCGCTGTCAGGGCTCCCTCGCTGGGTCATGTGAGCACACCCAGTTTTGCTGCGTGTGCCTTCCAACACAGGGTAGATATGTAAGCAGCTTCCTGTCAGGAGTCACCTGCTCTAAAGCACGTACAGTTTCTGAGTTAGGAGGCCACATCTCAAGGTTAGGACATAGCAAAGTTTCCCTTAAGACCCTGTAAAGTTCCTTGAGATCTCAGACGGCCGAGTCTGTAAATAAATACCCATCCATGCACGTAGCAGGGACAGGGGCAGCCTCCCCACCTCTAGCAGTAGAATGCTCTCTACGAAGTGGACTTGGAAGTCTTTGGTTCATGTGAGGCAAAGCCGAGAAGCATCTGCTTCAAGGCTACTTTGCCGCTCTCAGGACAAGTGGACGTCACCTTTGCATAATCGAGAATACCCTAAACAGTGTAGCTCCTCAGAGAGGCCAAACGCCATGGCCAGGACATCTCCGTCTGCCCTGACAGGACCACACTTCATTAGTTTTAACTTACAGAAAGGAAATTAAATGATAACATTTTTCCCCCAAAGTAGAACTACCCAGAATAGGCTTTCAGCTTAAAATAAAACATAGTATGTTTTTCATTAAATAATCCCCCAAAGAAATTTAAAACTTAATGATGGCAGTCCTGAGAGACAACGGCCTTATATTACAAAGTCTGAGAACTGAAGCTTACAACATCAGCCTGGAGATCTTCCCCGCAGTGACATTTTACAGACGCCCTCTCAAGGCTCAGTCCGTTTTGTAATTTTGGGGTGGTGTAGAGTTTTATTTAAACTCACATGTATTAAAAAAAAAAAGACCTAAATATAAATACATATGCAAAAAAGTGACCTTTTGAATTCTTTAAAAGCTGCACATCCTCAAACACAGATCAGGTTGGTGGGGTTGATCAGGTTATTTCTTGCTTCCAGGGGGGTTCTGCGCTAGCCTGAGGGAGATGGATTTCTCTACTGAACACCTCAGGTTTCTGGAGCATGGCCTGACTACATAAGACCTGGATAAAGATGGTACTCATTTGTGACGAGGGGATCTTGTTCAAAGCTGCGCATTCTGTTCCGTTTCCTTTCCATTAACTGCGCAGGAAGCGGGGATGCTCAGCAGACAGGAGTTGGTGCTTTAAGGCTGGGCAGTAACGGGTATGATTCACGAACTCCACGGAGATGGGAGGGACATAGGAAGCGCGCACACATCTGGAAACAAACCTAGAAAGGCTTCCTCTCCTTTGTTCTCCCACGGACACTTTTAGCACATCAGAGTTTGAACATCTTCTTTTAAAGTCATACGTGAGTGCTTGGGCTCACATGCACGCTTGCACACACACGCACACGCACCTCCAAACTTTTGTGTCAGTATCTCTTTTGATGACAGTATAAGGAAATAGGGGGCACACGCACGCACACACATGCACACACACACACACACACACACACACCCCTCCAAACCTTTGTGTCAGTATCTCTTTTGATGACAGTATAAGGAAGTAGGGGTAGTAAATCTAGACTTAGGATACAGTGCCACACACTCCATCTGGCATGAGGGCAGCCGCGTGGGAATGCGCCACATGCTAACAGAGCCCACGATAGGCTTAAAATCTCTAAGAATCATCCCTTGTGTAGGCGGGAGAGTGAGCTGATATCTCCAATCCAGGTTAAGCATCAACCTTCAAGGAAGGTGCCACCTTGTCGCCTCTAACCCTGGGAAGGAGTGCTCACTGCGTAAGGGCAAAGTGAGGAGCTGACTTCCTCTCCAAGGCCACTGCGACCATGTGGGCTGGCGGCCCCATGTCAGAGCGGAGCGACCTCACCCACCCTGATGAAGAAAAGCAACAGCAACCCCAGAAACAAAGCAGGAAACAACTCAAGGCCTAAGCACCACGGTGTGTTCCGGGCAAACCCTCTGGAGGCTCACAAGAGGACTAATTCCAACGCAGCATCTGCCCGAGTGCAGGGCATTCACTCTCTGAATAGAAAAGCCTTCACTGCTTGGGAAACACCTGCACCATCTCATTTCCAACCCTCTGCCCCTCATTTTCTCCTAGGAAACATACGTCCAAGCCCTGTGGGAAAGAGCATTTGACACCGTGAGAGGCAAACTCGACTAAGCTAAACTGCATCTTCACCTGTCAACCCTTACCTTCATCTTCAAACACCCAACACAATCGCAGATATAAAAAGACAAAACCCAAACTTGGGGGTGGGGTGGAACGGGGTGGGAGTGGGGGCAGGGAACCAATAAGCGGAAGAGCTAACGAATGACTGGGAGAAGACACTGGCCTACAACTCTACGTCAGTCTCTCAGGCAAAGACGACAGCCATGTAGGCAGAGTGCTTGCTGGGAGCTCCCAGGAGCTCCCGGAGCGGCTTCCCTGTCTGTCGGTTTGCTGCTGCTGCTGCGGCTGCTGCTGCGCAGGGCAGGTCCAAGCTGTCTGGGGACACGCCCTACTGTCGCTTGGGCACGATGAGGTTTCTCAGCATGTCAAAGGAGTTGCCATCTGGATGCACCGTCACAACCTCACCACCCTTCTGGTGGACCTGCAGGAACCCGGAATCATCAAGCCCCACGATCGACACCTGTGGCCCCTCAGTGCTGCCCAGGCGGACTTGCTGACCACTGAAAACGAAGCACATCAACACGGGGGTCACAGGAGGCGACGGAAGGCTGGGACACAGAGCTGCATGACTATTCACGACAAGGGGCCAGGGCCCTGGGGACCGGCTGTGGCTTCCTATGGTGACCTCTGACCTCTGTCCCTGTGAAATGTCTTAATACTCACCAGCCACAGCGGTAGGCTGGGTCTTCTATGTAATACATTGTGAATTCTGAGCCTACTGCTGATGGCTTGTGCCCCTCCTCACCCAGGACTCTTAACACACTGTGCAAACTAAGGGAAGTGGAGGGGGCTGTTTGGGAAAATGAGGGGGAAAAGGAGGGACAAGGAAGGGCAAGGGGAACAGGGAATAGGATCGAATTATACTGTAGACATGTATGAAATGCCATAGCAAAAATTCACTATTTTCCAAAGCAATATGCTAATAAAAATAAAGGAGAGGAAAAGAAAACACCACTTAGGGACAGGCAAGTAAGGCTCGGTGGGTGAGGCACTTGCCCCCTAAGCCTGGTGGCCTAGATTCAGTCCTGGGAACCCACGTAAAGGTGGAAGGAGAACTAGCTCCACCATGCTGCCCTGCCTTCTCCTAAGTCTGAGGACACGGGCGTTTCGGAAGGGCGGAGGCTCGTCTTACACATTCGTGGCTCCCAGCTGCAGGAGGCTGCCAGGAGAGTTTGTTAGTATGTGGGGCGAACCTCAGCCCCACAGCATAGACTAAGGTGAACCTAGGTGCAGGAGAGGCTGCCATTGTGGCATAGGGATCTCACTTTGAGATCTAGAAGGTTCTACCACTTGTGTGTGGGATTAGCTCCTCATAGTTCATACTGAGTTGCTTCTAGATGTTCTCAGTGCTGTGTCCTGCCCAGTGCGTCCCCCAGGATGCTGGCCCCTCACTTCCGGCTAGGCTGAGTCACTGGGAGTTAAAATAACTACCTGAACTAACTCTTTGGCCCCCACGCTAAGAAACTGAAGTACTAGCTTCAGGGAATTTCAAAAGAAAGAAGGCAGTGGGTACTGACCTGTGCACCCAGTATTTGTAATAGAGAGGAAGGACACCACTGGGCCCCTGGGCCTGGAACGCGTCAATCAGTCCCTCCAGCACAGTGACCGCCCTGGCTATGAGGCGATCGGCTCTCAAGGGCTTCAGGCCCGCACTCTGCTGCTTATTGTGCTCTGCGATGAGGTCGTTGATGCAGATGGTCGGGTTACTGTTCGTCACGTTAAATCCACAGCCTGGACAAAAACAACAAACAAACAGAAAAGCAGTCGGACGTTACCAGTGGTCTTCAGCCTTCTGAGCGCTGCGACCTTTAATACAGTTCCTCATGTCGTAGCCACCCCCAATCATAAAATTATTTCATACTATAATTTTTATGCTGTTACGAATTATACTGTAAATATCTGATATGTAAGCTATCTGATATGCAACCCCCAAAGGGTCATAACCCACAGGCTGAAAAACCATTGTCCTAGATAAAGGTGCAGATTCTCCCAGTGTTCACAAACTGAAGTCTGAGAAGAGAAGAATGAGAGCAGTTATCCTCTGATATCATCCGTCTGAGGGAGAATAATGATAGCAGTTACCATGAACTTGGGCTATGTCTTTCTAGAAGCCAGAACATTCTGTTCCTCACCCTGAAACCTGCCCCTCTTGACTCTCCAGTCACCAAGAGCTGTAAGAATGTAGCCAAGCTACACATTCTGCCTCTGCTCCCGCCCAACACCATCCTTTAGCTTCCTGAACAATCCTCCGGCCTCAGTGCCAGCGGATGGTACTTAGAATCTGCACATAGCACAATGGCTCATCTAAACATGGGAAGTGGTGCTGCTCGCTTCGGGAAACCCTGCAAGTCGGCAGCAGAAAGAAATGCAAACTTGTGTTCTTTGGCGCCCTAGACAGGATCGCATGTTTCTGTGTGTGGCTGATTTTTGAGCGGCAAGTGAACTCTACTGGGAATTAGGGGGGATCGGTGGTTGGATGATCAGGGCCCCAAGAACTTCTGAAACTGCCGTGGAGCCGCCTCCTCCCTGGATGTGCTGAGGAGAAGCAGGCAGGGACTCTGTGCTGCTTTGACTAGCTTGAGGTTTTTGTTTGTTTTTGATTTTGTTTTTTAATGTTAAAAAGGCAATTTTTTTTTTCATGGCTAAGAATGCAAGCCCAGCAGCAAAAGTGTCTTCGCTCCTGTCCTAGCTGCACGTCTGTTACTGTAATAAATACTAAAAGCAGAGAATAGCGCTGCCCATCCTGGGCTGTGTTTTTCTGCATCAGTGAACATAATCAAGACAATTCCTCGCAAAGATGCCGGCCAACCTGATCCGGACAGCCCCCAGCCCCTCTTCCAGGCCCTTTCCGGCCGGTTCTACATTGTCAGCTGACAATTAAGCTAAGCACCGCTGATATTAATTAGAGCTTATTATAAAATGTAATTATTGTAAAAGATTTGTTTCTAGCATTTCAAGTTCCGTGAGCAGACCCATGGAAGGACGTCTGTGAGGTGTGATACCAATTTGGCAGTTTCCACGGCCCCAGACAGGAACTGCTAAGCCCTTGAAGTGTTCTCAACTCATCTGGTCCTCTCTGAATCCACGCCCCATTCTGTAACTTAAGACTAAAAACACCATCTCATAATGTCATCTGCTCTTCCAGGTAGAGAGGCATGCATAAGACATCTGAATTGTTGTTCTTTTGCTGATATAAAAGATGCTGGAGAAAGGGCTTTAAGAACTCACCGATAAGGATATAGAACGTTTCTCCCATAAGTGTTGAGTTAACCAGAACTCCACCAATTTTCATGAGATCACTGTAATAAATATCGTTGGGCCACTTGACTCGCAAGTTGATCTCCTAAAAGAAAGTCTACATGTTAACTAAGCAATAAACTGTAGGGTTGCCAGCAACGGAACGAAAGATGAACAGAATATCACGAAACCAAAGGGAACCCAGAGCCTTGTATGTGCTAGGAAGCGCCCTACCAACTGACTTACATCCATCCTTATCATATTCCAACAACTCCTGTATGTATATGTATATGTAAAGTTCTACGGCCCACACAGACCTAAGTAAAACAAATTCTGCCTTCAAATTTTGGGGAACTCATGGGTGAGGGAACAGGGTACACAAGACTCTCTCTCAAAGAAACATGAAGTCTGTACCTCTGCCTAGAGGCAGGAATGTTGGGAAGGGAACTTTAGCTCCCAGGGAAAGCAAGAAGGACTTTAGTGAGACACTGAGAGAAGCAGTGAGGGTGGGGAGGGGGAGGGGGAGGGTGGGGGACGGGGAGGAGTCCGGCAGACAGGGCTAAAGCCACGGGAGCAGAAGTGGGCAGCCTGGAATGGGGAGGCGGCCACATTCTGGTGACACTGAGTTAGTACGCAGACATCTCCCCTGGTTTGCTAAAGACAAGCCGGCACCCTACTGAAGGCCATAAGGAAAGGGGACCCAACACAATGGAGGATATTTCAGCCATCCGGTAGCTTGTCTACATAGGTCAACTTGGCTACATCAAAACTAACTCCAGCCATCAAAGTCAGGCAGGCCCAGAAGAACCAACATCATATCCTTTCTTATGTGTGGACCCTAACTGTGGATCATGAGTTTTGTGTGTTTAACTTGAAGCACCTGTGGAAGCCAGGAATTTATAAAATGGTTTGGCTGGGGCCACATGGAAGTTAGGGGACAGCAGAACTAGGTAAAAGGAGAATTAAAAGCCATACTATGAGGGAAAGGTTTAAGCAGTGAGAGAGATGGAGGGATCTGGGGCTGAAATGTATAGGGGGGAATTAACCCAAATAAAGGGACTGTAGAAAGATGTAGGGTCACCTTCCTATGAGTTACTGGTCAGGGAGGCTTCCACGGCTCCCAAAACAACAGAGATTCTTGCTACTTGCCCTCGGTTGCCCAGCATAACTAAATGGTAAGACCCTACATTGAAGACAGCACGTACTTGCTGCAGGTCAGTGAGCTCAGTCTTGAATTAAGGAGGAACTTTCTCCTGCTGGGGAGATTTCTTAGTGCCAGATGGACTATGGAGGGTAATGGAAGAGACGAGACATCAGGTGGTCTTACCTGGAGTTGCACCCTGAACTTTATAATTCCTACCTGCTGGAAAAGGTGTGTTCTCGGGCACAACAGAGGCATGGCTGTCGTGGGGTAAACCAACCATTTCAGACGGGATTGGAGACCTGCTCCTTAGGAGGGAATTCATGGCCCATACGTAGACCTGGCCAAAAACCCACGGCTGGGGAGGTCTCAGGCCCCAGGAGGAAACTCTCATTGGTGTTACTAAATGGTCATGTTGTCAGACTGCCACCTAACTGCTTATGTTTGTACCCACAGATCTGTGCTCTTCTCAACTCCGGTCAGAGTTTATTTATTTATTTTTTATTTTATTTTATTTTTCCTGTAGAAGGCAGTGGTTAAAGTAATACAGAAACTTACAACTAGCCGGAATATTAAGAATAAGTGACCAAAAGTGTTTAGCCCTAAGTAGACATCTATGGGAAATTCCCTATTTTTCTCTAGACTCAGAGAACATCAAGTAAGAGGGGACAGAAAGAATTTCAGAGCCAGAAGATGGGGAGGACTTCTGCGAAACTCTGTCTTCTGTGATCGCCTATAGAAGACCCGTGCAAGGTTGAACCAGCCAAGTTACAGTATGGATGGGGAAAGGAATCGCATACCCCAACCCCCAGCGGGGAGCTGTTGCAGCAGACGGATGCTGGAGGAGGGAGAATCGTTTTCCTTCGGGGGCGTGGCCACTGGTAGGTTGTCCGTCCCCCATTGGATGGCACCACACCCATGCACATACATGGAGCACTGACTGGACTTAGTGTATTATAAAAGGTAAGAAGAAAGGAAGTTGAGGAGAATGGTAGGGATGGCTGGGGCGAGTTGGAGGCAATGATCAGAATATACTACATAAAGGTAAAATAAAAAATTAAAATCACTCCGCTCAAAATGGAAATCGTATCACACAGGTAACAGCGAGGCTGACAAGTGTGGAAATGGTCAGAATGCCCATGGCCACGGTGCCGGTGCACCATGGAGCAAGCTTCCTCTCTCCCTTCCAACCTACAACTCTGTGCCCAACACTACGTCTGCACACGGCAGGAGCTCCGAGGAGACACCAAGCTAACCAGGTAAAAGTCAAAGTCGTGACCACGGGGATCAGTTTCGCTTGTGTTCTAGGCTCAGAGTTTGGCTTGCCGAAGATGTCACTATCTTCCTGAGGGGCTAAATGTACCACCACAGAGTGTTACGTTCTCAGTACCTCCTATGGGACCAAGGGCACAGCTAAGGAGTCTTGAAGGTCTGCCGCGCCCTGACAGGCCACAGCTCATCACACAGTCATGATGTGGGTGGACATCCATGCTGGTCGGTGACCTTGTTAGGTGGACCTCAGAATCAGCAGCATCAGTGGGACAGCAAAGACACTGGCCACATTGGGGGAGACGGGAGATACAGAGGGTTCAGACAACTTTGAGAGCTGTGTTTCTCGAATCTCACTTAAGGAACAAATACAGCCAGTAAAAAGCCTTGATGTAAGAGCTGATGGCAGAGGGAGGCAGGGAGCACCTCCTCGTCACGGCCACACAAAGCTGCCACAGGAACGCTTCAGGTGCACGCGGAAGTGGAGACAGGTGTGGAGGAAAGGCTCCTGTCCCCGAATTCACTGTTCTCTCTCCTTTGTCCCTTTAACAACAGGCGCTGCTGTGGTTTCAATAGGAATATCACCCACAGACTGGTGTGTCTGAGAAACTGGTTCCAGATGGTGGTACCGTTTGTGGAGGTTTTAGGTTGTGCAGACTCGCGGAAGGATGTATGTCACTAGGGGCTTTGAGGTAAAGAGCCTTGACTACTTCCCATTTGCTCTCTCTACTTCCTGTTTCTGCTACTAGGCCTGTTGCTTTGCTGTCACGCCTCCCGGCTACGATGGACGCACATCCCCCTGAAACCATGAGCCAGAACAAACGCTTTCTTCTGTGAGCTGCCTTGGTGTTCTACCGTGGCAGCAGACTGGCTGATAGAGAAGGCGGTATCAGGAGTGGGGCTGAAGTCAGGTGATAATAAGAATGCCACACACCTGTCCTGGTAGCAGGGGAAGAACGCACCAAATGAACCTGGCCTTGAACTTGAAAGAGCAGCTCTGCTGCTTGGAGCTGAGACTAAGGGGAGGTAGAAACAAGTCATTCAGGTTCACAAAACAGTCTTTTTTAAGAAACTGAAAATGGAGAGATCTCCCACCCCGCCCTGATACAATGTTTCCATTAAAAGAAAAGAAAGGCTTGTTCTTATTAGGACCCTGAGAAAGCTAACAAACAGCCCTGAGGGATTCTGGTAAATGTTCCATGAAAGCAATCACCCACAACACCACTGTAAAGGCAAGGGTGTTAGCCAAGCACTCTACACCTGGGCTACGGCCCCAGCCAGAGCTGCCATGCACTTTGGTGACAAGATTTGTGAAGGGCACAAATATGCAAACACATGTTACAAACAGAAAAGGCCAAGCTGGAGGCCCCACAGGAAGTCAAAGGACAAGGAAGCTGCACATACCTCGTACTCCGGGATGGACCGCACGGCCTCCACGACAGCCAGGGACATCAAATGCTGGACAAATGGAATCCTCTGCCCCAGTTGTGATCTCAGGGGAACGGAGACCAGCAGAGTGAAAAGGGCACACCCCACAGGGCTCAGCCAGGCGTTTGGACCCCTTCCTGGAAAGACAGACCCATTGAAAGAAAACTGCTTCCCACCGTCTCAAAGCCACACACCCGACACCCATCCCGCGTGAGCCTATCTGTGCTTTAGGGTCTGGGAAGAAAACTCATTTGGTGCAGAAGCTCTTGTCACACACGTGTGAGGACGTACGTTTAGTCTCCAGCATTCACATAAAAACATGGGTACAGAAGTGTGTTGGTATGCACTTATAATGCCAGTGTTGCGGGGGCAAAGGGGAAGCCAGGGGCTGGCAAGCTAGACTAGTTGGAATTGGTAAAGTCCAGGGTCACTGAGAGACCCTGCCTCAATAAACAAACTGGAGAGTGACTGACACGCGCGCACACACACACACACACGCACGCACGCACACACGCACGCACGCACACACACATACACGAGCCCTGACAGCAACTCTCTAAGCTGCTACTTGTTTTTTAAAATTGAAGTTAGGAAAAGAAAATAACCAAAATGAGAGGTATTGCTTAATCAAAATTTGAGTATTTTTTTTAAAGAAATCTACCACCTCTGTCATCTCTGGTGGGCATGAGTGGTGTGTATTTGTAACCCCAGGACTTAGGAGGCTGATCAGGAAATTTGGGAACTGTTTATATGTGTGTGCTTGTGTATGTATGTGTGAATCTATGTGTGTGTGAGCACGTTTGTGTGCATGTGAGTGTGAGTTTGTGTATGCATGTGTGCATGTATCAAATTCTACCAAATCCCATAGCTTTCACGCAGCAAATTTTTCTTCTTTGTCTTATGTTCCAACAAAGAAGCAGCAGGCAGCAGACTCCTATCTCAGCCCTCAGTGAGGAGGGGATGTGGCCAGGCCTGGAGTTGGCGGGAAGGAACATCACCCATGTTCCTGTAACGTCCCCTCCTGCCTCCTGCAGACACAGGCAGGGTCTCGCTGGCTCCATCACGGCTCTGGAGGGTGCTAATTCTTGGCCTGCAATCTGACGGTGGTGGGAATCCAGACTGGCCCCTTACTCCTGAGCAGGTGCTGGGTGCCAGCCGGGTGGGAGCGGTGAGTGGGAGGCTTCTGAGTGGGAGGCCTCTGAACACGATACTTGTTACAGACTCCAACAGACCCCTCCTGAGGACCCTGAGGAGATTAAATGTCTTAGAACTGTTCCCATCACAACCTGCAGGACGTACCGGGAACACAGGCTACCAGGTGTGACAGCCATCAAATGCAAACACTGCATGAATAACAAACCGTGGACAGGGAGAACGTGTGTGTTCTACTAAGGTCTGATCTAGCCTTCTCTGTTTCCTTTCCTGCTGCCCCATTTGGTGGGGTGGGGAAGGGCTGTTAAAATGGAAAGACTCTAACTCAAGACATCACAAGGTTCAGCACACACTGAGCCCTCCAGATTTTCGATGACTGACCTTTGCCCTGGGTCTGTCGAACAGCAATGGCGATTAAACCCATTTCCTGTGGCATCTCAAACATCAACCTGCAAATGGTGGGAAAAACTGGTCAGTTAGAACGGACACATGGACAGAGGAGGGAAGAGGGTGGGCACATGCACGGCAGCCAGGAAGGCCCAGAGCTGCAGAGCTGTAAGGAGGGAGGGGTCTTGCTTCCCTTCACAGCCCCTGGTGGGAACGAGAGCAAGGGTGGGGAGGGGCAGGGTAACCGGCCTGGCTGCGCTCAGTTGGACTGCATGAGGACACAGTTCTTTGGATGATTTTATCAAGTTATTTCCCTTACATCGTGTCTACCTTCGAGTGACAACGGCAACGCCCGACATTTGTTTCTACTTACAGTGGGTTTCTCTTTGAATCGCACACGGTTCTGATTACCCAGAAAGCCAATACGCTGGCAGTAAAGCGTTTAAGAGATGCCCCGTCCCCCGAGAACTAATTACGCTCTAACTGTAGTAAATAAATCGACACCTTTCGAGAATTCCCCAGAACCCTCGGTCCGTTTGGGCTTCAGTTCTGCTTTTAAAATAGTTTCATTGAAAAGAACGCAAACTTCTTTCTGGGAGTGAAGTAGCAAAGTGCACCCATGTACACCTCTACCTGACTGGGCGATATTAGATTCCAAAAAGAAAGAAGGAAAATGTGCACGCGTACAACAAAGTCCCTCCCTTCATTGCCTCCAAGTTTTGCTCTCTGCATTTTATTCCATATTAAGATACTTCTCGACCTTCCCAGCAGTTGCTGACCTGGTACCGAGGAGTAGATATTTACTGCTCCTTCTTCTCTGTCAATGCAATGGGGCAGTATGTATCTATGCATCTACCTGTCTGTCTGTCTATGCATCTATGTATGTATGTATGTACGTACGTACGTACCTACCTACCTACCTACCATCGGTGGGAGGACAGAGGTTGAGCAGGGCAGAGGGCATATTCCGTATTAGCAAGAAATTACAAGTCAGTCTGAAGTGTTCCTCAACACTCCTGCAGGAAGACAGAACTCCTTGGAGCAGTGGTTCTCAGCCTGTGTATGACCCTTTCACAAGGGTCGCCTAAGACTGTTGGAAAGCACAAATATTATGATTCATAACAGCAAAATTATGGTTATGAAATCACAACAAGAATAATTTTAGAGTTGAGGGGTCACCACAACACAAGGAACTATGTTAGGGGTCGCAGCATTAGGAAGGTTGAGAACCACTATTGTAAAGCAAGCCTGTGCCCTGAGTAGCTCTCCACCCTCTCCTGTAGGCTAAAGGAGCCCCAGGAGACGAAAACTGCTTAAAATCAGCACACACCCCCGCCTCCTGCATCTCCAAGGTGGGCAGTACCTGCTCAGGGGAAGAAGCCCACAGATGCTTTGCTTGTAAAGGGGACACGAGGCTACGGTGGGCAGGGTCCGGCTGCTGCGGCAGTGGGGTCTTCCTCATTCCTGCGAGAGCAGAACATAGGAGTGCCAACCTGTGCCAATGCACATGAACACAGCCCTGCAGCGTTCCTCTCAGAACAACCCACTGAGGTGGAGTATGCCTCTCCATCCCTGTGCACCAAGAATAAAATGTCCTTTGCTTGTGCTGGGCAAATGAAAACCCCAAGAAGGGCTCTCTGTCTGGTGGCGGAGTTATCATTGTGTTTCAGGAATCTTATGGGCTGCAAGAATTCATACAAAGATAATTTTACACATGTATCAATACATAAGAATCTATACCAATGTAAACTGTCTATAACTAATAGTTCACAAGGAGATAAGTAAATCCCATCCCATCCAATTTTTGCTTTCTAGAAGGTCCCATTCCTGATGCCCAGACTGGGGCAAATGAGGGACCAGGAAAAGATGTGATTTAGTGTTCGCTGGGCAGACTGCAGAAGCTCCCTGACGGGCAGGTAATCTAGAATGTTCTTTAAACACGTGGACAGTAAACGTTCACATGCTACATACAGCCAGCGATAGAAGGGGTGGGGACAGGGCTGCAGGAGCACTCGCGACGTCCAGAACAAAGTGAAATGATCAAGGAAACATATGCACTGAGCTGCTAGAGGTTTGGCACCATTTAACAGTGCCTATTAATGAGCAGAGAGAGGCTATGTGGCTGAGGCCAAGAGGAAATTCTGGGAGGGAGACAACGGAGGAAGGAGCTAATGCCTGCTTGAGACAACTGGAGGCCGCCAGATTTATTTGTGCTATATGAGATAACTCTGGGGGCCGAGCCGCACGGCTCTTGGCCGACAAAGAAGCATTTATGAACTTGGTCAATGCTGCGTTTCTGAAAATGAAGGGGCTGTAGTCTGCTTAGAGAAAAAGCAAGCATGGATGCATTCCATCCTTCCTGGACGCCCCTAAAGAGGGAAAAGCTGGGGATTGCATCATCTTTACCTACCGGTCTCCATGTTTTATTTTATGGCAAAGCTACGGACTAGAAGGTCCGGGCTATGCATGCTCACTGTTGTGCCAACCGGACACTGAAGAAAAAGCCCTGTTTGTTGGAGTCCGAATTCCCTGGGCCCTGTAAATCCCCGTGCCAGGTGCTCAGGTTACAGGGGATGCCATGGTACCCAGGGGTGCCCTGCCAGGACTGTCCTGACTTTTACATGGTCAATAAGATAATGGTACAAACACAGATTCAGACGGCAGGCCAGGAGGGGCTACTGAAAACTGAGTGAGCCAACGCTGAAACCGGGATGCAGCACACTCTGCAGAGATCGGAAGCAGCGACACTCACCACCAGTTAGGAAAGAACAAAGCAGAAAAGGGGAACAGGTGGCCGGACAGAGCACGAACATGATCGCTAGTCACTTAAAATGACAGCTCGGATTCACGCGGAAGGCATGCTGGCCGCGAGATGTGCACCGAACAGCAAGATCCAAAGGTCACGTGCACGTTTATTCAGCCTCTGGGAAATTCGAAGGAAAAGAGGCAGAGCTGGCAACTACAGTAGAAGGGCTTTTGTCATTTAAATCTTTCTCTCGAAAAGGCTAGACCAGGATGCTGGTCAGAGAGCAAGTGTGCTGCGACTTCGTGAGGTCCAGCAGACTCCCCTGCCCTGCTCCACATCTTCACTGGCGGTCTGCAACGCATGCGCGTGCATGTGTGCGCATGGCTCTACTGTGACATCTTCTGCCCACTTAAAGAGCTCCTTATGTGTCTGGGAAGTTATCTATGCTGCCCGCTGCAAGTACTTCCTTCTGGCTGATAATTTAACACTGCACTTAGCTTATAGTCTACCAAGAAAATATTTAATTTTTAATTTTTTTGGTGTCAAACACACCAACCTCTTCGCTCTTACACCTCGTCTTCGCATTGTGGCTACAGAACCTTTCCCCATCCCCAAGCCATACAGGGATTCACTTGCTTCTTGTGTGTGAGCACGTTCATTTTTAACCTTTAGAGTCCTGGTCCATTTAGAGTTCATTCCTGTATATGATAAAAGTTTTGGTACAGGTCTGGTTTTATACTTTTCCAATGCCTGTCAACTTGTCTCAGAACCGTTTGTTAGGAAGTCGTTCATCAGTAGACATCCTACCCTTGCCATGGGGATCTGAGCCCTCTTCTTGTGTCCTGTCTAAGGTACTTGGCTGTTTCTGAAAGGGAACCCTAATTTGTTGGCACTGGTCTGCACCCCAGTGCTGACGTCACACCGTGTTAGCGCTGACATCATACTGTTTCAGTTATCAAGCACATTTTAAGGTTGAGCCAGCCCAATCCTCCTCATTGGTGTTTTTTGGGCATGATTTCCTCGTGCTTTTCAGATATTGAGGGTTTCTGTTTGTTTGTTTTGTATAAATACACTTTCTAAATTAATCTGAGAACTGAAACGTATGTGAAGCCAAGCTGCCCTGTGAGCAAGGAGAACTGCTGTCCAAATCCATTTCCTCGGCATTTCTAGCATGTTCTTTGTTATGGCGAACAACATCATTTTACTGTTAGTATGTATATTAGAATAAGTTGATCTCTATAGGCCAATCTTATATTCTGCCCCTTACTGAATTCCTTCATTGCGTAAGTTAGAGAATTACCACGTCTCTCAGATTTCACAAGCAAGCTATCATTTTACCTGCATGCACATAGCTTTACTTATAGGGCCTGTGACCTCAATATGGCAGGTTTCCAAAAGCTAGCATGCCAGTAACACAGTGACGTCTTCACAGCCAGTTAGATTTCTCAAGATCTCAAGAACAAACGAACTGCTGAGCCTCGGGGAAGGAAGAATGGGCTCCTTAGACCTTCAGAACAGTCTTCAAGGTTCTGGACAGTATCCGATTCTAGGGTACCTTTTACTGAGCCAACCCTTAAATGTCCCAACAATTGTCCCATTTGTCATGACCATGTGGTCATATTTTACAGCCGAGGAAGCTGGGTGTCGGGGGCACTGCAGACCAAGGCTGGCCCAGCTCACCACAGAAAGCTGCTGTCCTGTTTTGGGGTCTTGATTTACAGTCCAAGCTGGCCTTGGATTTGAGATCCTCCTGCCTCAGCTCTCAACTCAAGTTCCATCAGTAAGATGTAAAGGCAGGAACACTATTAGTCTCTTCAAATGTGTCTGTGTAAGTTGAACAGTCCTGGGGGTATACTTATTCCTAAACTTAATAAAGGAATCTCTTTTAAAATGCAACTGAAATACTTAAAATTTCAAAAATTAAATGCTAGTCCTTTTTTCTTAGCCCTGTGTGCCTGGGATGTTATTTTTTTGGCTTTGTACAAGTTCTTCCCCTAACTTTAAAGGCAGGGTCCCATGTGTAGCCTAGGCTGGCTTCAAACTCTCTGTTAGCTGAGGACGACCTTGAGCTTCCGATCCTCTTGAGTCTTGGGATTACAGGCATAGAGGACCATCCTTGAGCTATGGCACTGTGGATCATACCCAGGACTCCAGGATGCTAGGCAACCACTCTATCTACTGAGCGACTTCCCAGAAAACAAAATCTTTTTTTAAAATTTATTTTTGGTGGTGCTGGGGACTGAATCCATGGCCGTGAGCATACCAGGCACGGCCTCTCCCACGGAAGCTGTGTTTCAAACATGCCAACTTCTCCTC